ATCGATCTCTACCATCGGTTAGAATGCATCCTAGCTGTCCATTAGGGATGGGGATGCCTATAAATAGGAGTGGGACTTCATTTTGTAGACAACAAGTCCTAGAGTGAGTCTTGAGAGCCTTGTAGAGAGTTTTGAGTGCTAGCCTTGTATAAAACATTCTTTGAAGTAATGGAAGTGTTCTTTCCTTGCCAACTTAAGTGCCTTAGTGTGTGTGAGTGTGCAAGCCAAGTGAGGAGAGAGCGAGGGCCACTACAACACTAGTAAGCGCACGAGGGGAGTGTGTTGGCTAAGGTGTGCACGGGAGTTAGGCTGACCAAGCACTTGCGAGAGTAGAAGCAACGTCTTGGTGCCGCACGGGAGTAACTAGAGTGGCGCTGAAACTCTAAGCCCGTGACATCTCTCTCTCTTTTAGTAGAGTTTGTTTAAGACAGTTGCATTTTAGTGCAATCTAATGGCTCGTATTGGTTATTAGTTTTATGCCTTTTAACAATTGGGCTTAAAACATAAGTAACTTTGGGCTAAACTCGTAAAATATGGCTAGCATTTTCAATATAATAATAAGAATATAATGGGCTTGTTAAACGAGCCTAACGAGCCGATCTTTGCATTGCTCAAGCTTGGCGCCTTTATTACACGAGCCTAAAAATGTGTTCAAATTCGGCTCATTTACTTCGCGAACAAGCTCGAGTTGAGCCCGAGCTGGTCATGAACAACTCGGTTCATTTGCAGCCTTACTCGTTCGAATTGAGAGATTGATAAAGTTTGTTCGGATCCGGTTACCTATTGGTAATTTGATAGGCCTAATTGAGGCAAACAAGCATTTCAATTTCATCACAAATAGCTTTTAGCAAAGGTAATTTTGCTACCATTATGGGAAAGCAATGCTTTAAGCTATTTTGGAGCATTTCATTTCCATTTCAGGTGTCATGTTGCCCAATGGCACCAAGAAAAGGTGAAGATTGCTGGAGAATGGCAAGTCAAAGTATGGCTTTCGGCCATACTATATGCCACATGTTAGGAAGTGTTTCTCATTGTTGATCAATTGTTTCATGCTTGTTAATTTAAAGGGTTTAAAAGCTGGAAATTATGGGCTTTGGTTTAGATTCAAAATCAGTTATGGTGGATTTGTTAGATTCCTTTATTTTTTATCTGGTTCATTCAATTTCTCAGAATATCAGTTACCAAACTTGAGCAAGTGTGTGTCTGAGTTTCATGGATGGTTTGGATTTCAATCAGTTCATTTATCACATATTTTTCCAATGAGTTTTCGTTGATTATTTTCGAATCCGATGATCATTTTCTGGTAAGTTTAATTTTTTATTCAATTCATTGATTCCTTATTGGCAGGAATTTGTTGATTTATTGTAAATTTTATATCTTTTCATATAGAAAAACACATATACTTCAACATTTTTAATGTTACATTTTGGAGCATTGAATCGGTACTTTGGATTTGGGATTGAAAGATATTTAGTTAAAATTTTGAACTAAATTTCCTCTAATCCAAATTCAAGTCGCCAATTCGGTGCTCCCAAACATGCATAAGTAATTTTATTTATTTTTTATTTTTTTGGCATCGGATTCCTATTCCTTGGTTGGTTTTTGATTTGTTAAAACTCCAGAAATTTACGTAGTTTGTCTCTCTTGGGTTCTGTTGTTATAATTTTACATGCAAAGTTTAATGTTGTTTCAAATAGTTTATACAAAGTAAACATATATTGCATTTGCATAGTATGAAAATTATAGAAAATGGGAGAGAGAGAGAGACTTTTGGATTAAACACTATTACAAAAGTACTCAAGAGCGTCCTAAGATCTATAAAAAAGACCAATTAATTAATTTGATTTTTCCATTAAATTCCTTTTCCTTACTCTAATAATGTCAAATTCTATTTTTCTTCTTTCTAATATTGTTGTTATTATTTTATTTGTAATAAGAGGAGATTAAAACCCAATTAACTGGTGGGCTGATAGATATACAAATATAGATACTAATCTGTGTGACATGTATGTATTGTGTGTAATTTTATGCATCTAATTTCTTGAAACTGAAAAATCAGTGGCATGTATTCGCTTTCTCTGGTCCCTATTTTCTGCCCAAGTTCACTTAATCAGCTCTCTCTCTCTCTCACCCAAAAAACGCTAGTAAGAAATGTTTGACTGATTATAGAGCTTTTGTTCATCTTCCTGAAAAAAAAAAACACCACGGATGTATTTATTATGTATGTGTTTGTATACGTGTAAAACATATCTGCTTTAATTTGAATAATGCTTAATTTGAGTGCTTTAGTACTGATTTATGTGTTTTATTTATATTTCGGTCCGTCTTTAGGAGAAATGTGTGAGCCTACATATTTAGTATCTGAAAGAAATAAAAGAGTGTGTGTGGTTGAATTGAGCTGAGATTCTCGTTCATGGGGGATCAAACTATCTTTTTCTTTTGTCCCGTTTTTCAATTTTGAAGTGTTCGACATGTAGCCTACTATGTTGTTTGTCACAGATGGTCTGTAAATTAGTGAATTCACGCCGAAAATTTCTCTGTTTTGCCGTTCAAGAATCATCAAACATCCACTGGTAAATTCTCGGCCCCTCAATGCATATGGCTTGATTTGATTTCCAGAATATCTTCCAATGATCGGCAATGTTCAAAAAGTCGATTGTGACTAAAATTTATCGTTTTTAAAATTAGTTGCTGCTGAAGCAAAGGAGGGAAAGGAGGCAAAGACCACCAAGGAAGCGGCTGCCGCAAAGCCAAATAAAGCCTGCTGCAAAAGCTCCCGACAAGTCGCTACTTGAGATGATGGAGGAGGATGCGTTCCCTTCATTGAAAGTGAATCTCGAGGCTCAAAATTATACTTACAGAGTTTCTGTTTCAATTAAAATACAATGTATGATCATCGCCTGTTGTATGATTTGTTTTTTTGGTTTTGTTGATGATGATTTAGCATCCATTGTATTCAGACAACAATTGTTAATATCCCTTTTTACATGAGAAGTCATGTGTTAATCAAGGAGAACATTACTACTGGGTCTGTGATAACAATGCACCGACTGGATTTTCATTTACTCCATTGCCGATGCAACATCTACAAGCACTCAGCGTTTTAGATTCCGATGGCATAAATTGTGGAACCAGTTCCTTCAAATCTTCAGATTTTAACTTTATTCCCATAATTTGAAGATTTTAGAACTATATGATTTTATATCATGCATTACTTCATACGTTTTTATGATACAAGAGAAGGCTGAAAATAACAAAACATCGTTTTTACATTCGAAATGGATTCAATTTTCGGTCATAGATATTAGACCCTTTAGCAACCGATAAAAATGATTATCACGTTTTTTCTTTTCTTTTTCTACTGTTACAAGACAAAAAAACAGGAGCACACCCTCACATGCGTGGTGGGTGTTTTTCGTCTCAAAGGGTGTTGAATTGGGTGATCTTGGAGTTAATAAATGGGTGCATGAAAATTTTAAAAGTAGGGGCATTAGTAAATTTTTAAAAGCATATAATTGAAAAAAACAAATCACTAAGGAGGGTGTGTGGAGCCAAAAATATATATATTTCTAATTGATACTCATATATCTCTACTCTTAAAGAATTGTTTGCATCCAAGCAGGGACGGAGGGAGAGGGGGCCAGGGGTGGCCAATTGGCCATGGGCAAATTTCTAGTACTAGTTACTATATATATATATATATATATATTAATAATCATTTTTCTATATAAAAATTAAATTGCCCCCCCCCCCCCCCCCCCAAATTTTTTGTATATATATATATATTAATAATCATTTTTCTATATAAAAATTAATTTTTTTTGTAAAATCTATTTGTGGTACTAAATTATAATTATTAATGATAATTTTTAAAAAAACTAAAGTTGGTTCTTCAAAATTTTTTGTAATATTGTACTAAATTATAGTTACTAATGTTGATTTTTATATAAAAGTTAAAGCTTGTCTCTCCCAAATTCTAAAAAAAAAAAAATCTATTTATGGTTTACCTTATGATTATTGAATGTGATTTGTAAATGAAATTGCTTATAACCTTTCAAGTTCGAATAAACATCTTGATTCAAAAAATTCAAAATATAGTATGTATATATATATATATATATATATTAGTTATTAATGATGATTTTTTATAAAAAAATTAAATCTTGCCTTTCCCAAATTCTAAAAAAAATTCTATTTATGGTTTACCTTATGATAATTGAATCACTTATAACTCTTCAAATTTGAATAAACTTATAAATTCAAAATATAGTAAATAATAATAATAATAACCATTATTATGATAATCCTTATTGTAACATACTTTATGTATATACGCACAGTCACACACACACACACACACATATATATTATTTGTTATTAATTAGACAGAAGAAAAAAAAAATACAATTGTTCTATTTTTCTTTTCATATCATTTATAAGCACATGTTCTTAACTAAAAAAATTACAAGTATTTTATTTTTTAAATTTAATTTTATATTAATTAATTTAGCCCCCCAAATATTTTTTCTTGGCTTCGCCTCTACATCCAAATGGAGTGAGCAATTTTAGATCAAATATTTCATTAGATACTATGATGAAGTGACTTACTTAATTGAGCCAACCAAAGATCAACCAGGATATTATGTGGGGGGCAATATTGAAGTTTTTCATAATTTTAGGAGTGGCATTAGTAATTTTTTAAAGGTATATAATTGAAAAAAACAAATTACTAGAGGACGGTCGTGATCAACTACACTCCTAATTATAAATGAAAGATGAAGAATTTCAGGGAAATTCAACTTATGCAAGTTTGTTAAACAAAATTAAAATTCAAACAAAGCAATTTTATTATTATTATTATTATTATTTATTTAGACAAATTAGACAATCTTATTTTTCTTAAAAAACAAGCTAGAAAATTTGTGAAGTCAAAGCAACTACTAGTGAATGTTTCAACGCGTCATACACCAACTACTTTTAGTCAATCCACAATAGAAAACACACACACCAACATCTGATGGGGTGGGCACAATTGCAACACTTTGAACCTGATTGCCGGGGTGTGAGAGTGTCCAAATCAAAAACCTTGTCTTCACCTGTCTGTTTGTCTGTCCCCTTTCACATGTACAAGCACGTGCAACAATGCTCCGAGGTTTGTTAAAGGCCGCTCTTCAGTTATGGACAAGAACCACCTTATCCTTCTCTCTCTCTCCTAGGTTTTCTGTGAGGTACGCTCTATTTCATTTTCTCTCTCATGTGTTCTTCTCTGCAAGCTTAGTTTTATTGCACTTGATCATCCTATTCTAGGTCATTGACTTTGTTAACTTACTGTTTCTATGGTTTCATATTGTACCAATTAGAAGATTATACTTGTTGTTAACAGTATTATTTGTGTATGTTCAAGTTATACTGATTCATTTTGACAAACCCTGAAAAAATTGAATCTTGTTCATCTTGATATGGAGCTGTTTTAAGTATTTTAATGAACTTGGATGTATAAAGTTTGTTAATTGAAAACAAATGCATGTGCCACTTGGCTTTAGGGCTTGGAATTTTTGAATTACAAGTGAAAAGGCAAAAAAAAGAAGAGAAGTTAGCTAAATTTATGCTTTGGGCATGTTAAGGTCAAATTTTAATTTCTATATATTTTTATATTTGTGAAATAGATGACAATGGATCCGCGGATTGGTGGATTTTCGGGTACTATGAATGGAGTTCAATTGAGAACTCAATCTGTATCAGCTATGCCAGATCAGAACCTAGTTGGTGGATCCAGATTTGGAAACACCCCTCTAGATCACACCTTTGATGGGATTCAGTTCCTTTCAGATGATCCCTCATCGAGTAATACAGTTGTGAGTTCGAGCAAGGGGGAAGATCCTCTTGAGGATTGTGATTTCTCTGATGCGGTTTTGAGATATATAAGTGAGATGCTTATGGAAGAAGACATGGAGGACAAGACATGTATGCTTCAGGAGTCTTTGGATCTTCAAGCTGCAGAGAAATCATTTTATGAGGTCCTTGGCAAGAAGTATCCACCTTCCCCTGAACAATACCCAATTTTTGTTGACCAAATTAGCGAGAGCCCAGATGATAATCCCGGAAACCACAGCAACTCTATTAGTAATAGCAGTAGTACTAATGGTTACTTAGTTGATCAAAGCTGGATTAACAATTCTGTTGAGTATGGTACCTCTCAAAGATACAGTATTCCCATTTCTAATGCTTCTTACTCATCGGTTGGCTCATCAAATAGCATAAACAATACCATAAATGGGTTTTCGGACTCCCATATAAGCCCTCTTCAGATCTCTTGTTTATATAATGGGAGTCAATCTATTTGGCAATTCAAAAAGGGGGTTGAAGAAGCTCGTAAGTTCCTTCCGAGTGGTAATGATTTTTTAGCTAATTTGGAGGTCAATGGGCTTCTGCCTCAAGAGTTGAATGGAGAAACTGGTGAAGTGGAAGTTAAAGTGGAGAAAAGGGAAGAGGGTGAATACTTACCAACTAGATTGACGGGGAGGAAGAGCCCATACAGGGAGGATGCAGATTCAGAAGAAGAGAGAATTAGCAAGCAGGCGGCAGTTTATCCGGAGTCCACGTTGAGGTCAGAAATGTTCGATATTGTCTTGCTTACTAGTAAGGGGGATGGTGAGGCCGCCTTATCAGCTTTTCGTGAAGCCTTGCGGATGCAGCAGAATGGGAAATCAAAAGGATCTAGTGGTGGAAAGGGCCGTGGTAAGAAACAAAATAGAAAAAAAGAAGTGGTGGATTTGAGAACTCTCTTGATTAATTGTGCACAGGCTGTTGCAGCTGATGATCATAGGAGGGCAAATGAATTGCTAAAACAGATTAGGCAACATTCTTGTCCTTTCGGGGATGGGAATCAGAGATTGGCTCACCGCTTTGCTGATGGCCTTGAGGCACGCTTAGCTGGCACCGGTAGCCAGATTTATAAAGCCCTGGTTGGTAAGAGAACATATGCTGCTGATTTACTGAAAGCTTACCATCTATATATTGCATCATGCCCATTCAGGAAGATATCACATTTTGTCTCAAACAAGACAATTATGAATAAATCAGCGAATGCAATGAGGCTCCACATAATAGATTTTGGTATACTCTATGGTTTTCAGTGGCCCACCTTAATTCAACGTATTACAGAAAGAGATGGGGGACCTCCAAAGATTCGTATTACTGGGGTAGAATTACCCCAACCTGGTTTCCGGCCAGCAGAGCGAGTTGAGGAGACAGGGCGTCGGTTAGCAGATTATGCTCGGACTTTCAATGTGCCCTTTGAGTACCATGCCATAGCAAAGAAATGGGAAACTATCAAAATTGAGGATCTTAGGATTGAGAAGGATGAATTTCTTGTTGTCAACTGTTTGTATCGGTCTAAAAACTTAGTTGATGAGACTGTGGTGGCTGACAGTTCAAGAAACAAATTTCTCAATCTGATAAGGAAGGTTAATCCGGATATCTTCATCCATGGAATTGTCAATGGAGCCTATAGTGCCCCTTTCTTTGTTACCCGGTTCCGTGAGGCTCTATTCCACTTCTCATCACTGTTTGATATGCTTGAGACTAACGTACCACGTGAATGTAATGAGAGAATGCTAATTGAAAGAGAGTTCTATGGGAGGGAAGCTCTAAATGTTATAGCTTGTGAGGGTTGGGAGAGAGTTGAGAGGCCAGAGACATACAAGCAGTGGCAACTCCGTGATCTGAGGGCAGGCTTCATGCGGCTCCCTTTTGACCGGGAGATCATGTCAACAGCAAATTATAAGGTAAAATCAAGCTACCACAACGATTTCATGATTGACGAAGACAACATGTGGCTGTTGCAGGGATGGAAAGGGCGAACAATTTATGCTCTTTCTTGTTGGAAACCTGTTTAGGGAACTTGAGATGCATGCTTACTGGGGGCAAAAAGAACTTCAGATACATGCTTATTAGCACTCGGTCTCTCCCCTCTCCGTGTTATTTGCAGCAAAATTGAGTACATAAATGTAGTGCTGTGTTTTCAGGTACCAATCTTGGTTTCTCTTTTTCTTTCTTCTTTCATTATTGCTGAATTTTGTTTACTTGTAAGTGATGGATTTGCTACCGTGACAGATAAATTGGTTGCTAATCCTGATGCTTAACCGCTAGTGCATCATGCTTGAAGAATGACCATTCGGCTGATTTGGTAAATAAGATAATTTGGAGTTGCAGGGTTGGTCCATCTTGTACTTGTTCCGCACATCTCAAACACTAATAATTTGATAAATATATTGGTAAAGTGCAGTGACATTCATGGGATATGGTTATAAGCTTACATGTATAGGAGAAAAACTGTGTTACACAGTGCCATATGAATTACAAGAGCCTTTTTTGCTGTTGCTATTGAAATCCTTGTATGTGTTTGCTCAAAATGCTCAACATTCCTTGTTCCATAATTTCTGATGATAGTGATGGTTTATATATCAGTCAATGGATTTGTCATGAGAGGGAGGGATCAGGAAAATGCTTTGTATACCAGTTAAATGAAAATTTTCGGATCGTTATAGTAACCTTTGCCACGGATAATCTTGTGAATTCGGCAATCAAACGAACTGGTACAGGGAGTCACTGTAAGTGCTAGGGGCATTTTCTCTTTCTTATATAACGCAAATGATATATTGTTTTGATATGCGCGTTTTTATTTGCATGTCTGTCGCTTGGGAAGATGGGGGGGCAAAATGGACTGGTTTATTGTGTGCTTTTAATTTTAGAGGGAGCTCTTCCGTTTCTTCTAGCCATGTGGTAGTGATCTTGCATTCCTGCTTATGCTTACATAATTGGAGTCCCTCAAAAATGGAAATCAAAATGTACAAGCACCTGCTTCAGGAAATGTCCAAATGAAAGTTCACAAAAGTGCATCTTTTAAGCTTTTTAATTGCCATCTATTTGGAATTTATTATGAGTAATGCTAGTATATCCTATCAGCTTTTTATGCACGAGTAATGCTACTCCAGCTTTCGTTTGTCTTACCCAAATTGATAAAATACATTTTAAGTTTGTATATACCATGTTGGGTTTTAATCAATGTAACTGCAAATAAAGAACACTCTTTTCAATGTAATGGTCATAAATTAGTGTTCCATCTAAGCGCCACTGAAGGAAAAGCGCGCATGGTTTGATTCAACCAAAGCATAAATCATGATTCAAGTACAAGAAGAAAATATTCCTCTCTTGAGAAAAACCCTCCTCTTAGTTCCAGAGAGATCTACATCTGTATATTAGTATATTACTGTAAGTCGTGGTCCTTTGTGAAGGGGATTGAGATTGCAATCACACATAAGCATAACCTTAATTGCCCCTCTGCAACGCAGAACGTGGTTCTGATCTTAACACAAGGTTGATTGGGCCAGCCAGATTATATGTAGGAAGTTGTTGAACAAATCCCAGTAGATTCCGAAGCCAACACGATCGCAGCCGGATTTCTGGTCCACTTTGAATACATAATTCTGCAAGTTATCAGAAATCCTGTTAAGAGTACTGTAACTGCAAACCTAATCATCCCATACACGTGAATAAAAAACACACTAACTCCAATAATCTAATGTTGGGCATACGATAGATGATATTGACCTTTTCAATATAATAAAATTTATGCAGCATACATCATTTCATATATATCTCAGGTTGTCTGATACTTATAAAAACTATATATCTCAGGCTGTCTGATATCATCTGATGCATAAACTCCCTCCACTAAGTGGTTATCAAACAGGGTAGTTAAAAAACGCACTAATTTTGTTTCTTACTACTCTTTACTTGGGCCAAATTCTGTCCAGAGACATCCATATGCAGCAATAGAGGTTCCCAAATGTCAATAGAATAATAATAATAATAATAATAATAATAATAATAATAAAAAGAGTATATTGGTTGATGACCAAAAAGAATTATTGAATAAAAAGCCTATTACTAGTTTATTAGTAGTAAAGCATTGTTACGCTAGTTGGTGGTCAATACAAAATTATAATTGCTTGTTTGATGACGACAACCACCACCACCAAAAAAAAAAAAAAAATAATAATAATAATAATAAATAAATAAAATTGTCCCCGAACAAAGAGAAATTAATGGATATCAACTAAAGTAACGAACAACCACATTATAATTTGATATGATGTCAGAGATGAATTGCCAACAAATCATCTATGATCCAAATAACCAAAATGAATCTAAGTAGCAAGAGAACTCACACGTAATGATGCCCACTTTTTATATCAATTTGATTGAGCAGATGAAATTGGGTAAAATATACAAGGATTTTACAAATTTTAAACCAACCCTCGTTGAGGTCAACTTGACAGAACTCAGTTCTTAGCGATAGGGGGAGATGACATCTTCCATGTGTTCTTGGTGCCTTTCTTATAAAAAAGGCCAGCATTTTTCTTTCTTTCTTTTTGTTTAAGGACATACTAAGGGCACACTGACAAAAAAGTCGTGATGTAGTTTGAAATTTATAATCATTTAGAGTCTTTCTTTCGTTTGTTATATTTTTAAACCCCATTGATTATTTGGAAACGGAAACTTCTTTGCCTACTACCACTTTATCAGTGGATTCTCATAAACCAAGAGAAGTAGGATCTTTTAGCTGATAATAATTAGAAATTAAGAAATTCTTAGCCCAACTATCCGAGGGTTCTAAAAATTTTATTCACCCTCTCTATTGGATGGAAGCAAAAACATATTATATTTCCCTCTACTCATCCTGCTGAAGTTACGAAGATGACATTTCGTTCATTAGAAATACTATTTTGAGATGTCCTGTACTCATTAGCTTACGGATTTGTTGAGTAATTGGCCGCCATGCGATTATTTCTGGCAGTTGGGTACAAGGACAGATTCCGGCCCTAAAAGCATTACTAGGATGCAGTTTTTGACCAGACTTGACTTGGTAGGTATAGACAGTCCTTTTGATGTAGGATAAGTGTGAGCAATACTCTTTTACCAGCGCTATGGCACCAAAATTGTTATTGGACAACAATAGAGAGGGTCCTTTTGGGGCTAATTATTATTGACGTCTTTATGATTATAGGTTAAAGGTTGGTTGGGAACTTGCGTTTAGAGTTTCTAAAATATGTAAGAAAGAGTTCATTTATGAGACTTTAACACGGCACGAAAAGAAGTTCAGGGACTGTTTGTGGTTGTTAATAGAGTAACTATAAAAAGTAACTTTGCTGATTTGTTCTACAGTTGTAAGATTGAAAGACTCTAGAGGTGGAAATGAATTAACAAGGTCTGATTATGGTAATGACTTTGAATGAAAATTACAAATGCAGAAAATTGAAGGGCAAACAGCAAATTAAAGGGAAAATTTTTCTAATAAAATGATGGTGTGTGGTGGTTAAATATTGGGCATGTTGATTTTTAATATAAATATTGACTCACAATCAATATTGGGCAAGCTGGTTTGATTATGGTCACAAAAATCAACCTAGGTAGTACTTTATGGTCACAAAAATCAACCTAGGTGGTACTTTACAATTTTTTCTTTTTTGAAAATAGCAACAAATTCATAAAAGTCATTTCTACTAACCTGAAAATGGAGTTTGTTGGATTATTATTTATATATAGGATTAATCTTAGTTGGAATATTATATATATAGGATTTTTGGTGTAGTGGTTAAATATTGGGCACGTTGATTTTTAATATAAATATTGACTCACAATCAATATTGGGCAAGCTGGTTTGATTATGGTCACAAAAATCAACCTAGGTAGTACTTTACAATTTTTTCTTTTTTGAAAATAGCAACAAATTCATAAAGGTCATTTCTACTAACCTGAAAATGGAGTTTGTTGGATTATTATTTATATATAGGATTAATCTTAGTTGGAATATTATATATATAGGATTAATCTAAGAAGACGATCTTTTAAGCATATATATGTTCAAAAAGAATATGTTAAAAAAAAAAAGAGTTTGATTGAAGAAAAGGAATGCCATTTCTTTTGAAGAGAATTCAAAAGAAATACAAATAAAAATGAAAAATAAAAAATAAAAAATTGAAGAGGAAGTAGGAAAACAAAGAAAGAATTAGAGAAACTGGTAGAAAAAGGATAATTTTAAGGTGGGGCATTAAGTAATATTTTACAAATTATAAACATATACATAATAAAAAATTATTAAAATAGTAGGCCAGCCTGGGCCCAGATGCCATGTAACGACCCGAACCTGAAGGTTCGAATCGCTAACCGGGTCCTTCTCCGAACCCAAGGTCAACTAAGGATACTAACGTCTTTTTCTACGTCAATACATAATATACGTGTCATCCCAGAGTTTAAAAACAAATAGTAATAGCAATAATAATAAAATGAGATTATAGCTACAAAATATGTCAAAACAGTCCACTAACCCATCGAACCCTATGGAGAAGCGTCGTCCGCCACTTCCCTTCCGTATCCTGAAAAATGTTAATAATAAGGGGGTGAGCATAAAGCTCAGTACGAAGTGTCTAAGACACACTTCTTATATTCCCGTGAATCCATACAATGTATAGATAAAAAGTAAACGAGATCATGCCATAGGGAAACGCACATTCTCAACCACAACAACAAGTATGTAGCAAATATCAACCAATCACAAGTTTACCACAATGTCATGAAGTGCAATATTATGCAAATGTCACTCCCCATTTTTCGAAACATTTCCATTTCAACTTTCAAACCGTTTGTGTAATCCAACCCAAGGCACCTCTAAGGTGTCACGAATGGAGGGTTGACTAACTATTCACGACCACAAGGCACCTCCAAGGCGTCGCATCCGGCCTAGTTAGCACAACCATACTCCCTTCTAGACTACACTAACAACACGGACCGCTAGGCGCCTCTTAGGCGTCCGGTTTTCGCAAACTCCTTTGAAAAATATTTTTCCCAAGAACAAATTCATTTATTTTAAAACATTTTTCCCCCTATTTCTTTCCCAATGGATGCATCAATGCTTCATGCTTCATTTCATCAATTCAACCATAAAGTTCCCACATACTTTTTTAAATAAATTAATAAATTACTAAAATATACAACTCATATTTTCATTCCACATTTTGCTAGCAATTTAAATATACAATTCACAAATTTATTTCACATAAGCATGTTTAAACACAATATAATCAATTAACACCTTGTCATGATTTCATATATGGCATTTAAACAATATTCAGGAACTTTTGCTAATTAAACATGCAATTAAACAATTTATAAGAAAAAGATTCACAAAAGTACAAGAAGACCATGATTAGAGACCCCTACCCTGAAAAAAAAGAATTTTCCTCACTAAATCATCAAAGCCTCAAGCTCCCGGCCTCCTCTGCAAACTCTTAGCTCCTCTCTTTTCTCAAACTATCTCTGTGTTCTCAAACTTTCTGTCTTTACTCGGTTCACTCTGTATTACTCTAATTTTTTTTTTTTTTTTCTTTCTGTCTTTGCATTCACTCAGTCCACACACACATGACATATACAAGGCAAAATCATCCACCTCGCACAAATAAATATGACATTAGCGTACATCATACACTTCCATCTACATCACTTCATAAACACTCCATCAGAACCCACGTGAAGGCAAAACAATTTTGCCCAAAAAGTCACTCAGTGGGCCCTGCGAATCATCACAATTGTTTTCTCAATTCCCACTCTCTCGGCAGCCACCCATTTGATTCTTTCCTTCCATTTGACATTGGATATACATATATATATATATATATACAAAAACATATGACAAATACCAAAACCCATTAAAACTCTTTTATATCATTCAAGTGGGACCTGCAACCCACCTAATCAACTTTTCATTCCTCATTTCACTCTACCTGCAGCCTTCTTCAAATCTCTCTTTCTTTTTATTTCCATTGCACAGCACACACAAGATATATATAATGCAACAAAATCCAAATCCACTAAATTGATTCTCCAATTTAAAAATAAATAAGATCACTAAAAATCATAAAATAAATTAAATTAAAAAAAAAAATCGGGTTATCACAATCTCTACCACTTAAAAAGAATTTCGTCCCCAAAATTCAGATCCAACAGTCTTTGTATACCCAAAAACACCAATTCAAGTTATATATTAAGATCTACAGCATTTAACTCTGTTTTATAACAAGAGTGAGAAGGTGAACTTTAGTTTTTCCCAATTTTTAGTATGGTTACAAGTAAAGAATGATTCTAAGTAACTATATAACTTGAATGTAAAAAAAAAAAAATTATGACAAAGGTGTTAAACAAAACAAAATCCATAAATCCCTATCCTAGGCGATGTGTGATACCGTGAAATGTAGGACGTTGTGGTAGCTGCCAGTGCTAGTTACCCTCCCACACACTCCGTAACCGTTGTGGTAGCTAATCGATGTGTCACCCACCCATTAAAAAAAAAATAATAACAAACCTGGGCTACCTGCCCAACCACACTAACCAACCATTCCAGTAGCTGCCAGTGAACGCCATCCGCCCACAAACACCGGGCTACGAGTGATAGCTAACCAGTACCACACACTTGCCCACTCACACTCGTCTACATCATCACTAAACTCACACTTCTGGTTGGGTACAGGCTAATAAAATCCTCAATTCATTTAAACACAAATACATCATTATAATCCCATTATCATAAGAAAAATGTCCTCTTTTATACAAAATCAATTTCCTCAAATATATACAAAATTCTCTAAATAAATAAAATAAATCCTGCAATGCCGACTTTCCAGCCTAAGCCCGTATCTAGCAATCCCCGTTCATCTTCGGTACATGAAACTGGAGGGTGGTGAGACGGAAAGTCCCAGTAAGAAAAACCATAACAAGAATTTCAATAATCAATGATCGTACCACAAACCCATTATCGGACACATGATCCTACCTAATTCACCTCGTCACCCGAGACAAACCATCTGAATCTACACTGTCACACCGACACGACGCACAGTACCATGCTCTCGTTGTCCCTAACAAAACGAAATAATCATTGACCTTAGACCTGACATCGTGCTAGAGAGGGACTGATTCAGAAGAAATGGTTGGCCATGCCATTCTCATCATCGATCCGGCCTCAGCACAGACGTCGTTGCTGTCCTCAAGTCCAAACCTCAATACAATGTCACATAGTCCACAATATAACCACGGAATTCACTCACTATCAATCCATCACTCTACGTAACTTTAACGACTAAATACCACAATTATCAACCAGCATAAAAGCTCTCCGATCTCCTCATAATACCCATATTAGGTAGACAACTCCATAACATCATTCGATTCAATTCATGTCTCATTAAAATACTTTGTAAGGCTGTCTCATACCTGAAATCTCGAAACCAGAGTCAATTACTACGATTACTTCTCAAAGGAATCATACATCCACATTTCGAATCATAAAATCCTGAGACGATACCGACACTAGTCTTCAAAACATTGCTCAAATCAAACATCTATAAAAACACCTAAGTACATGAATCATATCACATCACCTAATCATCCTCGAACGTACAATTTACGACACATCCCCCAGTCATCACCGATAGCACCAAACACTGAAAACATAATCCCTATTCGGCAACTCGTGCCGTCAAAACCACCCTTAAAACAAGCACCACTAAGAACCAATGACTTTATCTCCCTCCGTGGGAGAGAGTTGACCAAATCAATCAAACCTTTACCGATAACTCCTATAATGTAACAAACCACACACAGGTCCGCCCACCCACGAACGCGCACAACTCCTAAATGGAGAACAGGGCTTACGACAAACGACTTCCTTGCTAGGACTAGAACAAACAGAAAGGGTAACAAATCCCACCTCACAAGAGACTAACGACTTGTGATACCCCTCGATTCTAGAGCCACGGGTGATCAAGTCCGAGCACAGATCTGAGGGATATCAGACAATCAATATGTAAACAAGCAGGAATAAAACTAAAGTAAGACTTAAATAATAATAAACAGAAAGAATACTAATATGAAAAACCTTGAACCTTAACTAAATTAATATAATTTAAATCCGTACAACTCGGGAATCCACCTAGAGGACCCCTAATTCCAAATCCTTAAATAAATTTACAGAATTAGAATCCAAAACCAAAATAGAAAGGAAAATCCTATGTAGTCGGAAGAGTGAGTGACTGTATCTGCATCGCCACGATCAAACCCTAAGTCTGGTACTCACGAACACCTGAAAAATAAAGGTGGGTCAGGCCCACATGCAAGTTCCATCCTACTACAATCCGTACATAAACCCGATACGCAGAAACATCCTAGATAGCTCGGCAATATCTACAATAGTCCATAGATATATAAATACACACTATAGGATGCTCACTAGCCTATAACATAGTTCAGCCTGGGTAGAAGGTGACATATAAAACACGCTTTTCAGCGGCCAAGTACCTAGACCTACCAGGGAACTTTAGCTATATCTAGCTACTCAACCTTTGCAATCTACGCACCCTAACCGTGATCAGGAGACTCAAGCTCGTATCACAGTACCATATAAATATATATAAATTCTTTCCTAATGCAGAAAAATAAAACAAACATCCGTTATGTCGTTCAACTGTTTTAATTGACAGGACATGCATCCATGTAGGATTTAACTATTTTAGTTAATCCATTCCGTATGTATGAAAGGGGTATGACTTAACTTTTTGATCTAATCCATCCCTGATATGTCACCATCCCATACCGGTACATATAATGCATATAATCCACACATGATGCACACTCAAAATGAACATCAAGTATATCCAGAACCAACATAATAGAAATCAGATATAAATAAGCTCCTATCATGCATCCAGTATATGATTATATTCATAGAACCTCCTTTTAAATTGTTAAAATAAGAATAAACAATTTAAACCATCCATTTCCATGTAATTGACAGAACATAAATTAAGACAGTTCAGCAATTATCCTTCATAACATAATATAATGAATATCAGAATTTTAAATTGCACATTATACTAGAATTCCAAAACAACACATCCATACTAGTTCGTTTTAAATGTTAAAATGATGACTAGCATTTACATCCTCCCATATCCTTTACGGCATGCAAATTTATAATTAAATCTCATGGTATCTATGTAATTCCCCATTACAAATTTTGTGTCGGATATAATGACACTCCAAAGTTTAAGTATATCATATGAAACTTCAAAAGTATCTTATACCAGTTTCATTTAATTTGCTAACACGAAACTAGCAACTAACCTTCCACTACTCCCGACAATATACAACTTATTAGATACGAGTACATGACGTCGTAACCAACATTCCTGGAACCGAACTATGCTAAATATATCATTGATATAAATTCTAACAATAATTACGATGTCAGTCCAAATTAAGTTGTCAAAACAACTTAGCAAAACAAGCATTCCTCCTTCCTTGACAGTAGGCCTATTATAAGCTT